AGATCATATTTATCTTCACCACATGTTAGTTCAGTGATATCAATACTAGCTAACTGTTGCTGTAGCTTTGTAGTTAGAGGAAATAATAAAGAGTAAAGATACTCAGGAATGAGATATTCTAGTATAAGGGAACCAGGACGAACTCGAAGAAAGTAAAGGTTGAAATCAGGAATGTCATATCCTTTTGGTATTGCTCTACGATAGAAGAAAAGGTCAGCTGATGTGTAATCATCACGGTCGACTTTAGCAATCATTACTCGTGTACCAGGAGGAACGTCTGTTATACCAAACTGTACAGCATCAGCATCTTTCAATAGTCCACCACTGTTTATAAAATAATCCTTTAACTTCTCTTCATAGTCTGTCCAGGTCCTCTTTAACGAACGATTATCACTCAGGAACACACAAACAAGTCTTGCTATCAGTTCATAGTTAAACCATGATACATACTTGTATTCTAAGGTTGTAAAAAGATCTGTCATTGTGCTAATGTCACTAAACTCTTCTCTAACTGCTTGTGCTGCAACTGATTCACACTTAGAAGGACCCAACAAAGTATGAACACGTCTTTTAAGATATTCAATGATTTTATGAAGAAGGTCTGGCTCCTTTACAAAGGATTCCATTGTCAGCTGTAGTCCATCAGCAAACTCATCCTTCAGTTCATATATCTTATTTGTTAAGGGATGATTTTTTTCAGGATGGTGAGCATAAACTGTAAAATTAATAAGAGATACATGAAAGGTGACCTCATAAACTTTTTTTACAACTATTATCATCTCATAAACGCATTACTAAACTAGTGCTGTTTTAATTAACAATTATAACTAAAACTAAAACCTATTTTAGTGAGCTATTTTTGTTTACTAAAACTAAAACTAAAATTCAAATTCTTTAGTGCTTAAAACTAAAATTCAAATTCTTTAGTGCTTATAACAATAATTAAAACTAAAGGCTAGTTTGCAATAATACACTAGACATTGATGCTGCAATAGAATCTGGTCCTATTCTAGTAGAAAGTATGCATCAAAAGGTCAAATCACTGGCATTTTTGATTAAAAATTGATGCTATGGTGGCCTAACATCATATTGTAAACCAGCCTTAAAACTACTAGTAATTAACTATAACTAAGGCCTCATTTATAAGTTACATTCACTAAAACTAAAAATAAATTAGCACACTTATAACCATACTGTTGGTTGGGCACAATTACGTATAAAATTTTACTGATGGTTCATTCACTATTTCAATGGTTTAATTGTTTTTACATCAACTGAAAGAGTTTGGTGAATAAAACTAAAACTAAAACTAGAAGCATTGAAAGAATAAAACTAAAACTAAAATAAAATTTAAAAGTGATAATAATAACTAAAACTAAAAGCTATTACCATTGCATAACTAAAACTGAAACTAACATTTAAAATTTAAGAATAGGAAACAAAAACTAAAACTAAAATTATTATGCCACACTAAAACAACACTACTATACATACACCTACCTTAAGGTTACTTTTAAATGCGGGTACTATTAATTGCGAATTTTGCGTTTGGGTTAAAATCGCAATTATTAATATGCGCAATTATTAATAATGACATCATCATGCCATATAACTATTAGTAATAATTACTTAATCGCAATTTTTAATACCAGCCTCGTGCTAAAATCGCAAAATTTAGTACCTGCAATTAAAAGTCACTCTAAGGTATATGCAAGCATAGTTGTATCATTTACTTGTTGAATTATATGATTTTCCACTTCCAGGTGACATTACAGCATCAACAGGAGAGATATCTCTTATAGCATTCCATAAATTTTCATCATCACTTGATGCG